TCTCACTTGTTGCCCAGGCTAGAGTGAGTGCCGTGGCATCAGCCTAGCTCACAGCAACCTCAAACTCCTGGGCTCAAGCGATCCTCCTGCCTCAGCCTCCCGAGTAGCTGGGACTACAGGCATGCGCCACCTGCCCGGTAATTTTTGCTATATATATATTATTGGCCAATTAATTCTTTCTATTTATCAGTAGGAGACGAGTCTCGCTCTTGCTCAGGCTGTTTCGAACACTCCTGACGTTGAGCAATCCGCCCGTCTCGGGCCTCCCAGAGTGATAGGATTACAGGGTGAGCCACCGCGCCGGCTAGAATTTTTTTTATTTCCATCTTGATTTCTTCATTATGAAGTAATCATTTAGTAGGAGGTTGTTTAATTTCCACGTTTTGTGTAGAATGTGTGTTTCTGTTAGCGTTGATTTCTTACTTTTATTCCACGTGATCTGAGAATACATGGTATGATTTCTATATTTTTTAATTTCTTGAGGTTTACTTGTGTCCTAGGATAGGGTCAATCTTAGAGAATGTCCTGTGACTGATGAGAAAAGACGTATATTCAGGGATTTGTCTGGTAGAATGTCCTGTAGGATGTCAGTCAGCACCCAGTTGTTCAAGGTTTTGTTTAAGTCCATTATTCTTATTAATTTCTGTTGAAGGATCTGTCTTGTGCCGTCAGTGGGTGTTGAATCTCCGTGATTATGGATTGCTATTAATCCATTGCTTAGATCCAGTAAGGTTTGCTTTATGAAACTGGGTGCACCTAAGTTGGGTGCATATATATTAAATTGTTTATCTCTTCTTGTTGAAGTGTGCCCTTCACCATTATATAATGACCCTCTTTGTCTTTCATACTTTGTTGCTTTAAACTAAATCGTCTGAAATTAGAACTGCCATGCCAGGCTTCTTTTGGCTTCCACTTGCCTGGAATACTGATTTTACCTTTTACTTTTAGTCTATGCATCCTTGCAGGTTAGATGGTTTTCCTGAAGACAGCAATACTTGGCCTGTATTTCTTATCCATTCAGCCAGCCTCTGTCTCTTGAGTGGAGAGTTTAAGCCATTCACATTTATTGAGAGAACTGATAGTAAGGTAGATTACTGTTCATTCTGTTGGTTGGATGTTGTTGCTTTGATTTCTCTTTGAGCCATTGTATTATCTGGCCTTTAATCTTTGGTTTTGGTTGTTTTTATATTTGTGAGTTTTATTATGGTGTTCTGTGCATAACACTGTTTTGAGTACTTCTTGTAGGGCTGGTCTTGTCTTGGTGAATTCTCTGAGACTTTGCTTGTCGAGAATGTCTTTATTTCTCCTTCATATATGAAGCTTAGTTTGCAGGGAATAATATTCTAGGCTGGGCATGTTTTGTTTCAGAAGAGTGAGATGGGGCCCAGTCTCTCCTTGCTTGTAAAGTCTCATTAGAGAAGTCTGGTGTTATTCGAATTGGCTTTCCCTTGTATGTCACTTGCTTCTTCGTTACAGCTCTTAGAAGGCCTCTTTAGTTGATATTTTGTCAGTCTGATGACTGCATGTCGTGACGTCTTCCTGTTTGCATTGAATCTCCCAGGGGTCCTCTGAGCTCTTGATTGATATCGAGATTTGAGCAAGGCCTGGGAAATTTTCTCCTTATATCTTCAAATAGCTTGTCCAACCCTTGGGTTTGCTCTTCCCCTTTTGGTAACCCTGTGACCCTCACATTAGGTTTCTTCACATAATCCCACATCTCTTGTAGGCTTTGCTCTTTTCTCTGTTTCTCTGCTCTATCTCTGTGATGGTTTTATTTAGTTGGAGGGTATTATCTTCAATCTCTGAGATTCTTTCTTCTGTTTGATCTACCCTGTTCTTGAGACTTTCCACTGTATTTTATAGTTCCCTGAATTGATTCTTCATTTCCAGGAGTTCGGTTAAACTTTTCTTCATTGTGTCTATTTCTTTTTCCAGATCCTGCAGGTTTTTTGTGGTTTCTTTGTGTTGGTTATTGAGTTGTTGTTGCAGCTCGGTGAGTGTTCTTATGATCCACATACGAAATTCCTCTTCTGTCATTTTGGTTGCCTGATTTGGGTTGGTGTCCGTTTCTAGGGGCTGGTGTCCTCTTTGGGTGTGTTTCCGTTTGGTTCTTCATATTTCCTGAGTTCCTTCGGTGATTTCTTCCCATGTCCATCAGTTGTTGTTTCTTTCCTTTAGGTTTTTGTTTGGGTATTCACACGCTTTGTTTAGTTTCTGAGCCGTTAGGTGGTGTCTGTGGGTGAGATTCGACCACTCCCTGTATAATGAGTCAGTGGGTGCCGTGAAAAGGCTGTGCAGGATGCCGTCCCTGTCAGTAGGTGGCGCTTGCTTGGAGGAACAGGCCATGCTGTTGATTTTGTGTCCTGTTATCAGCTCTTGTTCTGGATGGAGTTGGGTTGGGTAAGCCTGCCCTCAGGCACCACCAATGTCGTTAGCAGGGATCAAAGTTCTGTTCTCTGCTTCCAGGAAAAGCTGTCAGGGAGGGGCTGGAATGGTCCCGCTCAGCCAGAAAGTCTGCTTGTGGGGTGGGGCTGTCTGAGACCCGCAGTCTGGAGCAGGCCTCGCTTCTTTCCACCCTCCCAACTCCGCAGCTACTCCTGGGCCTCTGCCAGCAGGCCAGACCACAGCACCAGGCCTCCCTGGCGTGATGACGGCGGGGAGGTTCCCTGCACTGGAACGCCACCTGGGCTGGGCGACGGCCTCCCTTTGGTGGAGGTTGCCCTCTAGGACGCTGATCTGCCCTGGAGGCACACATACCTCAGCAGGCTGTTCACAAATACCCTTCTGCCCGGGCAATGCTAGACCTCGCGTGCACGGGATCTGGTCTGCAGGTCCGACCTCTGGTCCAGAGTTCAAACTGTATCCCCACCAGGGAGAGGAGTTCTGGTCCCAGTTCACCCACAGGGAGCCCAAGCTGGGTCTGTGTCTCTCAGCCTCTGAGTCGGCACTGTTCTCTGGGAACACCATGCCAGCAGCACCTGGGAGGCTGGCGGGTAGGAGCTCACAGTCTGAGTTCCCCTGAGTCAGCTGTAGGGTCCCAAAAGGGAAGGTCCGTTCCCTGGAGGTGGCCTCCGGCTGGTGGCTGTATTGTCTCTCTGGGAGCCGCGGGTAGGGTCGGGGAGGAGAGGAGGCAATATGGCGCCTGCCGCGGGCTCGGGTCTGTGCACACGAGGTGCCCCGAGGGATTTGGAGTCTGGTGCCGCGTCTGCTACAGGCTCACGCTAGCTGGCGGCGGCCGTCTCTGGGCTGGTGTCCGCAGGTCTCTCCACCCGCTGGGGAGCCCACCAGCAGTCCAAATGCAGGGAGGGGAAGGTGATTTATCCACCTACCCTTCCCGCTGGTCTCCGGGCTGCTCTGGCGGTCTCAGCTTCCAGTTCTCCTCCGTAGCCTCCTCCTGTGGAGTCTCCTGGGGTCTCAGGTAACCCTCTTTCCGGCCCTCGTCTGCTGTATGCTCGCCTTCTTGCTTCTTTTTTCTAATTTCTGCTAGAATCTGTCTTTTCTGCAGAGACACTCTTTCTGGCGGTGTTTCTTGTCCGCCATCTTGATCCTCCCTCTTTTTTTTTTTTTTTTGACAGAGTCTCACTTTGTTGCCCAGGCTAGAGTGAGTGCCATGGCATCAGCCTAGCCTACAGCAACCTCAAACTCCTGGGCTCAAGCTATCCTCCTGCCTCTGCCTCTCAAGTAGCTGGGACTACAGGCATGTGCCACCATGCCTGGCTAATTTTTTCTATATATATATATTTATATTAGTTGGCCAATTAATTTCTTTCCATTTATAGTAGAGATGGGTCTCGCTCTTGCTCAGGCTGGTTTTGAACTCCTGACCTCAAGCAATCCGCCCGCCTCAGCCTCCCAGAGTGTTAGGATTACAGGCGTGAGCCACCGTGCCCGGCCCAAACATCTTTAAATGTTCACATTCTTGTATACATCCAAATCCATGGCCATCACTAAAGCCAGAGATACTAAATAAATATAACTAAAACTTTAACTTCAGGAAGGATCTGGGGACCTGTTAGGTAAGAGATCAGGAAATTCTGATAGTGTTTAGTAGCAGGAGACTAATGAGAGTAGTTGCCATAATTAATACTGAAATAGTAATATTAAGAAACTTTAGGTAAATGAAAGCTGAATTTTGGAGCTTTGAACTTGGAGGGAGGGCAAAATAGTCTTGTGCAGATACATTGGGCTAGAGGGGTCTTGCCTGTCCTTAACCTTGTGGCCCTTGATTAATGCCTCTGAGACCACAGACAAACATCTAGTGGAAGGTTAATTCTGGAGAATGGCTCACTTTGCCACATGCCCTTTGGGCTCAAGGAAAAGACAGAATCCTGTAGTCTACTCTGGTGCTTGGTGTAGTGTCATGTATGCAGAGAACTCAGGGCAAAACTTGTGGATGAGATCCTGCCACCAGGAATGGTGGATTTTAGATGTGCTGCTTGGCAGTCTCTGAGGGCTGCTTTGTTCATGTGATGAATTTGGCACTGAGTAGCTCGCAGTTAACGAAGCTGTCAGCTGTACGAGCCCAGAACTGGCTTAACCAAGGGTTTAAAATGATTGCAAACAGTGCAAGTTAGCAATGTCCCTGCCCCAAGAAACTTATGTAGCACTAGGTGGAAGATTGGCTGACTACACCATTGTTAGCCTCTGTTATGTGGATAACCAGAAATTGATGACATAATGTTGTATATGAAGCCATGCTATCTACGACTATCCTCTGTTTTGCATTTTAAATGAAATCGAGACTTGGCTTATTCCATTGATCAAATATTGCTTTGCCCTTTAGATTCATGTGCACTTAGATAATTTGTGCACTAGCCTTTTTCCTCAGAGAGGAGGTTTCTTGAGGCAGGACCTATGTCTGGCACACCTGTGTGTACACATAGTGTTTCTAACTGTGTCTCACAAGGCAGCAGGAGACCGATAGTGGCCTTGTGAGTAAGTGAATGGCTCTTACTTAACTCCTGTGTGCTGTAACCACCTCTGACTTTTTCCTCCCACAGCTGTGCATGTCTGACAAACTGTGGGAGCAGATAGTTCATTTGGCCTGTGACAACGTCACTCCTGACATGAGGGCCCTGGCAGAGGACATCGGCTGGAGGCAGATGTTCTTCACCAACAAGCTCCAGCTCCAGCGGCAGCTCCGCAAGAGGAAGCAAAAACACGGAAACCAGATTGAGGAGCAGCTTTAGGACGTTTTCCTACTAGCAGGAGAGCTGAGGCATGCATGGCTGTGGTTCCCTTCCATGTCCGATGCTCTTCTGTCTCTTTTTCTTAAGAACTGAGAGGTTTTGCTGATTCAAAGAGCCATTTGAAAAGCATAGAGGATTTGCGCCCAAATGCAGCAGAACCTGGCTACCCAGTGCCTTGCTCGAATCACTATCTCTGTTGTTCTTACGGCAAATCGTGGCCCAAGTACAAGGGCTGCAAGACAGGAAGCCCTATCCTGACACCCATGAGAAAAGTGGCTTCTGCAATATATAAGAAAACAATAAATGATTATTAACAAGTTTTTAAAAAATCAGATATCTACTTTATCTAACGATTCAAAAGAGTAACTCTGGGCTTTTGAATGCTTTCCTGGTGTCGTGTCATCTGAGCCCATGCGTGGAGTAGGTAGCTGAGTGAGTATCCCCACAGGGAACTATGAGGGGCAGGTGCCACGGAGGGCACTTGGGTGAGTGCAGCTGTCTTCCCTACTTAGTTTCGCTAAGTCAATATTCGGGGCCCTGTCCTTGTGGGCCTGGGACACCTGGCTCCGTCCCCCTAGTAGACAACCTCTGACCTGGCACTAGGGCTTGGCTAGAGAAGTCCAGGCATTCTGCTTGCAGACTCTGTTCAAAGTACAACTTTCCAAGACTTCACATTGTTAAATAAACCTATACACAGTTCTTAGAGGGATGCTGTTTCCCCAAAGAAAGTGGACAGCTACCACTTTTCACAAGGATTTTAAAGAACAACAATCTATAGGTAACTAAGTGAAAATGTAAGTACAGTTTGCATTCTGTTAACATGACAGAGGGGTAAAAACAGTACAGTCTTAGGGGAGAAAGATCTACCTTACTGAGAAGGGTTACTTAAAAATTCTTTTCTCCTTGCTTTTTCATAATGATTAAATACCCTCAGATAATTAACTAACTCATAGTAGCAAATAATCTAATGACTCTTTTTAGGTCACAGAACAAAGTTGCTTTCTACCTCCACCTCGCCTTATTAACCTTATAATGTCTTCTTCCCTGCAGCCTCTACTTTCCTACCCAGGAAAAATAACATCTCCTCTGCCAGAGAAACACCCCAGGATGTACCACGCCCTCCCGAATGGTGCAGAGTGGTGGACTCTGGCTCTTCTCCTCACCTAAGTCCTTCCAGAAGAGCTCAACAGTATGGCTTAGTGACAGATATGTTTTTAAAAAACTAAACTTGTGTTAATATCAAACCAGATTTCAACCCTAATCCATACACCCTTAAAACCCGGTCACCTTGCTCCCCAGTGCCAATTTGAGACTTCAACCTAGACCTGTGTGCTTCTCATTCTTAGAGGTCCACAGTCATGAGTTTCCAGGGACATCTGGGAAGTCAAATGCCATCTGCTTCCTAGCCGAGGAGGGGTCCATCAGAGTGGTGTCTGGATTCAGTCCAAGCACAGAGCAAAGGTTTAATCATGGAGAGACTCAGGCCTCATTGTCTGTGTAGGTGCCCAGAATGGAGCTCCGAGGGCAGGAGGTCACGTCTCTGCATGGCTTCTACTGCCTTGTCTCTCCCTGAGCTTCCAGACTTCACTCACGGCCCGGGCTTCAGTGACAGAACACAGGTCAATACCGTGAGTACGCACACATGGCCACAATTTGGTATGTCAACATAAATATGTCACTTCAACTCACTTGTAACAAATCAATGTGAAATGTCAGCAGCTTAAAGTTTCATGTGTGGTGTTTTATCAACAGACTGAGATTCTGAAATCTTATGGACGTGCATAACAGTCAAGATTCAACATGAATCAATACGAACATAAATATGGCCATTTGAAAATACTTTATATATCAATATACATATATATTTTATATATTAATACAGTATATACTTATATGTAGTATATAATATAAATAACAAAATATTATAAAAATAGTATAACATTTATTATGTTATAGTGAATAATGTAGTAATATATAATATATCATTTAGCATAGATGCTAAATAACAAAGATATTAATATATTGACGATTGTCAAATAATAGTTAAAATAATACATATTATTAAATTATTTTAATATTACTTGCCTTAATAATTTGAGTGCCTTATTACCTGATTATAATTATTTTTGCTAAAATATAAATCATATCATCAAGCTAACATCCGGTATGTCACCAGTGTCTTTAGTGGTTAAAACATTTCCCACCTCTACCCCAGCTCATTTCCCATGTAAGTTCGTTCCCATAGGATGATCCCATCGGAAGGTAATAGGCAGCGATGGTCTTTCCTCTGCCTTTGTTAACAGCTTTCATGTGGATGGGTAAATCTGCCTTGTTTATGACATAACATTCAGAGTGAAATGCCACAGTGCTTTATAATCTTGCCCTTTCTCATCTTTGCAGTCCAATGTGTTTGCACCATGTTATTATTTACCATTGTAATCGTAAAAGTAAAATGCTGGTATTTTCTGCTGATTTATATATTTAGTGTTATAATATCAGTTTATTAACACAGCAAATGTAAATATTTAATTTATAAACTAAAACAATAAATATATTTTACTTAACGTTAACTTCCGTTACTACTTTCTTCCTGAACAGGTTGGAATAATATGTGCATTAAGCCATAATATTGACTCCAAGAAGTTTTATTTTGCTGAGTGGGCCCCAGAACTTAGGCTGAGATTATCATTTGGGAAGGGACAGGCAGCAGGGGTAGGGACAATGCGCTAGGTACCCCTTGTCGTGGTTTTAGAAACTGCTTTTGTACACAATGACCATCAGTCCTCATTTGTTACCTCAAACTGGCTCCTAAGACACTAAGAATAATATAAAGCAACCTTACTAAAAACATAAAACATGCACCACAGGTTTTTGCTCTGAGTCTTAGTGTAATGACCTTTATCTTCAGTTTGTGTTAAGATAGTATACTAGACATTTTAAACACGTAAACATTTCCACAATTTATCTACAAAAAGTTCCTTTTTTATAGAGCAGTGGCTCATGCCTGTAATCCGAGCATTTTGGGAGGCCAAGGCAGGAGGATTGCTTGAGGTCAGGAGTTTGGGATCTGCCTGAGCAAGAGCGAGACCCTGTCTCTATCAAAAATAGAAAAAATTAACCGGTCGTGGTGGTACACACCTGTATTCTCAGCTACTTGGGAAGCTGAGACAGGAGGATTGCTTGAGCCCAGGAGTTTGAGGTTGCTATGAGCTAGGCTGATGCCACAGCATTTTAGCCCGGGCAACAGAGTGAGACTCTGTCTCAAAAAAAAAAGTTCCTTTTATTAGTAGAGAAGTTGAGTGTCTTAAAAATTTTTGATTGAACTCACCAGCAAACTGGTATTAACTGAGCAGCACCTAAGTGAACACATAGGTACTACAGTAATAGGGTATTGGGCAGGGGGGGGGCGGGTATATACATACATAATGAGTGAGATGTGCACCATCTGGGGGATGGTCATGCTGGAAACTCAGACTTGTTGGTGGGAGAGGGGGAAAGGGCATTTATTGAAACCTTAAAATCTGTACCCCCATAATATGCTGAAATAAAAAAAATTTTTTTGAGAGATGCAGACTCTGTTCAAGTACAACTTTCCAAGACTTCACATTGTTAATAAACTATACACAGTTCTTAAGGGATGCTGTTTTCCCCAAGAATGTGGACAGCTACCACTTTCACAAGGATTTTAAAGAACAACAATCTTATAGGTAACTAAGTGAAAATGTAAGTACAGTTTGCATCTGTTAACATGACGAGGGTAAAAACAGTGCAGTCTTAGGGGAGAAAGATCTACCTTACTGAGAAGGTTACTTAAAAATCTCTTTCTCTTGCTTTTTCATAATGATTAAATACCCAGATAATTACTAACTCATAGTAAATAATCTAATGACTCTTTTTAGGTCACACAGAACAAAGTTGCTTTTACCTCCACCTCGCTTATTAACCTTATAATGTCTTCTTCCTGCACCTCTACTTTCCTACCCAGGAAAAATAACATCTCCTCTGCCAGAGAACACCCAGGATTACCACGCCCTCCCGAATGGTGCAGAGTGGTGGACCTCCTTGGCCTTTCTCCTCACCTAAGTCCTTCCAGAAGAGCTCACAGTATGGCTTAGTGACAGATATGTTTTAAAAAACAAACTTTGTTAATATCAAACCAGATTTCAACCCTAATTCCATACACCCTTAAAACTCGGTCACCTTGCTCCCCCAGTGCCAATTGAGACTTCAACCTAGACCTGTCTGCCTTCTCATTCTTAGAGGTCACACAGTCATGAGTTCCAGGGACATCTGGGAAGTCAAATGCCATCGCTTCCTAGCCACAGCCATCAGAGTGGTGTCTGGATTCAGTCCAAGCACAGAGCAAAGTTTAATCATGGAGAGATCAGGCCTCATTGTCTTGTAGGTGCCCAGAATGGAGCTCCGAGGGCAGGAGGTCACTCTCTGCATGGCTTCTACTGCCTGTCTCTCCCTGAGCCCCTCCAGACTTCACTCACGGCCCGGCGCTTCAGTGACAGAACACAGGTCAATACCGTGAGTACCACACATGGCCACAATTTGGTATGTCACATAAATATGTCACTCCTCAACTCACTTGTAACAATCACTGCGAAATGTCAGCAGCTTAAAGTTTCATGTGGTGTTTTATCAACAGACTGAGATTCTGAAATCTTCTGGACGTGCATAACAGTCAAGATTCAACATGAATCAATATGAACATAAATATGGCCATTTGAAATACTTATATACATCTATATACATATATTTATATATTAATACAGTATATACTTATATTAGTATATAATATAAATAACAAAATATTATAAAATAGTATAACATTTATATGTTATAGTGAATAATTAGTATATATAATATATATATCATTTAGCATAGATGCTAAAGTAAATAACAAAGATATTAATATGACGATTGTCAAATAATAGTTAAATAATACATATTATTAAATTATTTTAATATTATTGCCTTAATAATTTGATGCTTATTACCTGATTATAATTTTTTGCTAAAATATAAATCATATCATCAAGCTAACATCCTGTATGTCACCAGTGTCTTTAGTGGTTAAAAATTTCCCACCTCTACCCCAGCTCATTTCCCATGTAAGTTGTTCCCATAGGATGATCCATTGGAAGGTAATAGGCAGCGATGGTCTTTCCTCCTGCCTTTGTTAACAGCTTTCATGTGGATGGTAAATCTGCCTTGTTTATGACAAACATTCAGAGTGAAATGCCACAGTGCTTTATAATCTTGCCCTTTCTCATCTTTGCAGTCCAATGTGTTTGCACCATGTTATATTTACCATTGTAATCGTAAAAGTAAAATGCTGGTATTTTCGCTGATTATATATTTAGTGTTATAATATCAGTTATTAACACAGCAAATGTAAATATTAATTTATCAACAAAACAATAAATATATTTATACTAACGTTAACTTCTGTTACTACTTTCTTCCTGAACAGGTTGGAATAATAGTGCATTAAGCCATAATATTGACTCCAAGAAGTTTTATTTTGCTGAGTGGCCCCAGAACTTAGGCTGAGATTATCATTTGGAGGGACAGCAGCGGGGTAGGGACAATGCGCTAGGTACCCTTGTCATGGTTTTGGAAACTGCTTTTGTACACAATGACCAATCAGTCCTCATTTATTACCTCAAACTGGCTCCTAAGACACTAAGAATAATATAAAGCAACCTTACTAAAAACATAAAACATGCACCACAGGTTTTTGCTCTGAGTCTTAGTGTAATGACCTTTATCTTCAGTTTTGTTAAGATAGTATACTAGACATTTTAAACACGTAAACATTTCCACAATTTATCTACAAAAAGTTCCTTTTTTATAGAGCAGTGGCTCATGCCTGTAATCCGAGCATTTGGGAGCCAAGGCAGGAGGATTGCTTGAGTCAGGAGTTGGGATCTGCCTGAGCAAGAGCGAGACCCTGTCTCTATCAAAATAGAAAAAATTAACCAGTCGTGGTGGTACACCTGTATTCCCAGCTACTTGGGAAGCTGAGACAGGAGGATTGCTTGAGCTCAGGAGTTTGAGGTTGCTATGAGCTAGGCTGATGCCACAGCTTTAGCCCGGGCAACAGACTGAGATCTGTCTCAAAAAAAAAAGTTCCTTTTATTAGTAGAGAAGTTGAGTGTCTTAAAAATTTTGATTGAACTCACCAGCAAACTGGTATTTAACTGAGCAGCACCTAAGTGAACACATAGGTACTACAGTAATAGGGTATTGGGCGGGGGGGGGGGCGGGCGGGTAAACATACATAATGAGTGAGATGTGCCCACCATCTGGGGATGGTCATGCTGGAAACTCAGACCTTGTTGGGGTAGAGGCGGGAAAGGGCATTTAATTGAAACCTAAAATCTGTAACCCATGAATATGCTGAAATAAAAAAATTTTTTTTTGATTGAAGCCAGGTGTGGTGGCTATGCCTATAATCTTATCACTTTGGGAAGCTTAGGTGTGAGGATGCTTGAGGCCAGTAGTTCAAGACCAGTCTGGGCAACATAGCTAAACCCTGTCTCTACAAAAAATAAAAAATTAGCCAGGTATGGTGGGGATACTCTAACAATATCTGCACTCCATGTTCACTGCAGCATTGTTCAGGCTAGCCAAGATATGAAAACAATCTAAATGTCCATTGCAGATGAATGCATAAAGAAATGAGTGCATGTACATGTATACACAGGAATATTATTCAGCCTTAAAAAAGAAAAGATCTTGCCATTTTCCCCAAAATGGATGAACCTGGAGGATATTATGCTAACTGAACTAAACCAGTAGCAGAGAGGAAAAATTGTATGATCTCACTTATATATGGATATTAATTTTAAAAAAGTAC